CTAACCCCTAACCCTAACCCCTATCCCTAAAAAATGCACCCCAAAAAATTTTATTTTTCGAGATTTTATATTATAATATTTTGATCTGGATTTCATTATGATCTGCCACAATTATTAACAGTGTCTCTGCTGCAATCACGTGGGAAGCAATAAAAATTATTAAAATCGCCCAAGGAAAACTTTTTGTTAGAGCACTAAAGGTGGTTTCCATGCAAATTTGAGTTATAAGCGACTTTTGACAAAACAAATTTTTCTGATCGTATTTTTAGTCAAGTTACCGAAAATTTTTGTTGGTGTTTGAAAACTTTGGATATCAAAATTGCAAAAATTGTCGGTTATCGGCAAATATTTAGATGTGGATAAAAAATTTTTAAAATTCAAGTTTTAAAAAATGCTGCAGATAGTGATGCAGAACTTAAATTGATACACCCCTTTTGATTATACGCGGAAACTATGGTTTTCTGCGGTGATATTTATTTATTTTTTAAATTAATAAATGTGGCAGCTTATGCTGAAATTTTACCGTATTTTATTATAAAATTACAAAACTTTCAGAGGTCTTTTTTGTGGTCTTTGTTTCATATTTAGGTTAAGGTTGTTGGGCAGTGTTATTAATAAAAGAGTATATGTGGATTTTAGCAGATATTATAGATTTAAATAGAGACCCCAAATTTCAGCATAAGCCGCCACATTTATTAAGGCTTAATAACTAAAGATGACTGATTTTCAACAGGCGTATCATGAATGTCAACAATGGGTAAATTATTTTTTGCATGTCGGACATTTAAATATTGAAGGTCAAAAGATGAGCAAATCGTTGAAAAATTTTATTACTATTCGAGTAAATATCATTTGACATCGATTCATTCGATTTTGCTATTAATTCTGTTTCACAGTTAATCAAGTAATTTATATCTGAATATATTTATATAGCAAGCTTTAGAAAAACATACTGCACGACAATTGCGGTTATGCTTCCTTCTTCATCAATGGGATTCAAAGCTAGATTTCAAAGAAAGTACTATGGGGGAGGCGAAGGGTATTGAAACTATCTTAAACGTATGCACATTTTCTTCTTTTTAATTATCACCATAAATTTCATTCTAATCGACATCCTTATTAGAATTTCTTTGCTAACACAAAAGCACTATTGAATGAATTCAAACAATCTGCATACGAATCCGATGGTACACATCGGTATTCTGCTTCTGAAAGAGAGCTAATGAACCTGTAAGTAAGCAACTTGTGTAATCTTCTGATTAGTTAATTGTGCTAACTCTTCATTCTTACAGATTTCGCGAAAAACAATCAGCCGTTCACGCGGCACTTTGCGATTCCTTTAATACACCAACTGCAATGAGCGAAATAATGGAACTCATTAACAAAACTAACATTTATGTATCTGCTGGAAGAAATAACATTAGCATATTCGTACTCGAAAATATAGCGAAATATGTGACAAAGATGTTAAAAATCTTTGGTATTATTGGAAACACATCATCCGAAGATATTGGCTTCGGTGAATCAGAACAAAGTGTTATAAACGTATGCACTTTTATGCTTTATTATCGTTTGTGATGCAAAGCATAAAACTTATTGTAATCTATTTACTTATTTCGAAAAGCGAGAAGAGGTTGTGCTTCCATACCTTCGTGTTCTATCGAGTTTTCGCGATAATGTCCGAGAACTTGCACGCCAACAGAAAGGTCATGGAGAATTTTTAGCCTTGAGCGATAAGCTAAGAGACATTGATTTGGTAAATCTTGGAGTGTCGTTAGATGATCAAGAAGATGGAAAGGCTTTGGTTAAATTCGTGGACAGAGATGTACTTATCAAAGCAAGAGAAGCAAAATTACAACTCCAAGCAGAAAAGGCCGCCAAAAAAGAGGCTGCCGCAAAAGCTAGAGAGGAGGAAAGAAAAAGAAAATTGGAACAAGGCAAACTCGCAGCTGAAGACTTGTTTAAAGAGGAAAAGGATGAAGATGGAAAAAATCTTTATTCTGCATTCGATGAACAAGTATGTTTCAGCTAAATTAGTAGTTAGCTCATGTGAAATATAAAAACAATAACATTGATTGTCTGCTTTTAGGGAATTCCGACACATGATAGTAATGGAGAAGAACTGTCGAAAAGTAAAATTAAAAAACTGAAGCAAAAATGGGATATTCAAAAGAAGTTAAATGATGAATATTTGGCTACTATTTCCAATTCTGATAATTAATATAGAACATTTTATGCAGTTCTGGTAGAAAAATTGACTTCATTATTTGCTATTAATAAAACTTTTTATAAAAAACTTTAAATAAAAAAATTTATATAGATGTTTAAAACGGTTTTACTAAATCATATTGGTGTTCTACTCCACAATGATTTTTACCAATTAAGTTATGCAGCTGCAGTGTAATGTAAAAATTAGGTGTAATATAAAATTTTATTTTTTTTTAAAGAAAATGCCAATAACTAAATTTTCCTAATAAACCCATCTTTTGACTTCTAATTAAAAAATTGCAAAATTTTATTATATGCTATACCTTATATTTTAACCTCAAACTTTAATCAAATATTGTGGCAGATTAAAATGAACCATTATGATCTGCGACAATTTATTGTATTGTATAAAAACACTGGTGTTAAAACACTAGTAGTATGATTTAGTAAAACAGATATAAGAAAGTAAGAGGAATGTTGATCGACAATGGACTTCGACAATGGACTTCGACGTCGTCACGTGATAGCACGATCGGCTGTGGGAAGTAGGGATGCAATTATACCGGTATAATAGAAAGTGGTAGTATAATACCAGGCATAATACTGTATAATATGGTATATGTACTATTTATTTCCCGCTGCGGCGGGAATAAGAGGTACATCCCCGTTCATCTGGGGGCCCGAAGGGCCCCAGATGA